CCGCGCTCCTGGCGTGAACCTGCCCCCAACAGCTCTCCGGTCGCTCACTCCAACTGCTGACTTGCATCCAGAGCTGGGTCTGGGGTGCAGAAAGCCAGGAAGACCCCGCTGAGCCCTTGCTGAGACTGGGGAGTTACTGCTCCTCCCTGAGGCTCGGGCTCCTTCTCAGGATCACCCTCCCCAGGGGCCGAGGATCGCCCCTCCCACATGGGTCAGAAGGTGGAACGGGGCGCTCAGAGCTGTCAGCTGCAGAAGCCGCTCCGGGAGGGCCAAGGGCGCCGGAACTGTCCCCCTCCTCACTGCTCCCTTTCCCCACCTGGCCTTCACGCATTGGGGCGCACTGTTCCTCTGCAGCCGCTCCCCAGTCCCAGAGCTGTGAGCCCCAGGGTCCGGAGCCCCCAGAGGGGCCGGTGTACCGGGAATTCCCACAGGCACTTGTTCCTGCCGCACCTGCTCACCCCGGGGTCAAAGGCCGCCACCCGATAAAAGCCCCGAGGCAGGGGTCTCGGGGGCTGCGCCAGCTGCGGGGGCTCTGCACCCGGCCACGTCCTGCTCCCCTCCCCGCCTCCCTCTCCGCTCCTCTCCAGAGAAGCCCTGATCCCGGCACCCCACGCACAGCCCTCAGATCCTGGGCCAGCCCGGGCGGCTCCCATTCCGCGTGTCCCTGGCTGTGTAGGGGAGACAGAGACACAGAGAGCTGGGATCCACGCGGAGGAGGCCGCAGAGAGCCCGGCTGGGAGGGCTGGTGGGAGGTGCGGAGCGGCTCTGGGCGCCCCCCAGACACCCAGCCCCCACCCGACCCAGTTTCCTGACACCTCTGGGTGCCGGCTGGTGCAGGGGACTTTCCCGTACTTTTCAAGCCCCCGGCTGAAGGACCTGCGTGTAGGCTGGCCCAGCCGCCCTGGGCCTCCCGGGAAGAGCCCTGTTCTATGCCAGGTTGCTGGAATTCAGGCCCCTGTAGGAGGACTTCAGGACAGAACAGAGTTCTCTCCCTCCCAAGCCCAGAGCCAGCGAAATGGACATGTGTTCCTCAACATGGCCTTTCTCTCCAGAGGCCTTCCTGCTCCCACCCCACCCGGCGCCCGCCGCCTTGATGTCCCTGGATGCCACACGTGCACGTGCACCCGGGCAGGTGTGTGCACCCTCGTGGCTCACGAGTGTTGCCTGCGTACACTGTCAGGCCACATACACGGCCAGGCTGCCGGCACGCACACCCCCTTGCCCCATGCAACGACCTGGTCAGAGGGACCCAGGCCTAATCCCTCCCTGGGGACCTTTGCCGGGCCGTGGGAGATGCCCAAGGCCAGGCTTCAGCAGTGGGAGCGGAAGGGGCGCCGGAAGAGGGAGGGCTGCCGGGCAGCAGCGGGGGAGACGGGCTGGTTTGCACTCGGGAGCCAGGAGGCCTGGACCTGTCCCCTGCCCGCCGCTGCCTCTGGCTGGCTCTCTCCAGAAGGAATCAGTAAGGTGCTCGAGGGCTCTCTAGGTGGAGGATGTGGCTTTGTCTGTGTGAGTGGCTGCTGGGAGGAGACACAGCCCTTGTGGTACTTTGCTGAATGGAGAGGCTTGGGTTGGGCAGACTGCTTCTATCATCGGGACCTTCCTGCACCCTCTCCAGACCGCCCCTGCCCCCCAGCCCAAGGCTGCCCCAGTCTGGCTGGGGGTTGACAGATGTGCCCCTACGGCCAGGTGCCTCAGCCAGGCCCCGTCCATAGGACGAGCTGTGGGGTCTGTGCGGTCCCCAACGGGACCCCCTTTTCTGGGCAGTCTTGGGAACGGTCTGAGACCTCACCCCTTACCTAAAGCCGTGCCTTGCTGTCTTCTACCTCGATTCCGAATTAGGGTGTTTCCACCCCACTTCTCCAATCTCTGCAGGTTCACCAAGGTGAGGTGCCCAGGTGAAGGGGAGGGCCAAAGGTGCAGTGTTTCCCCCTCCTCTTGGCCAGACCGGCCCCAGATCAGTTTCCCTAGTTGTTCCCCACCCCCAGCCCTTTTGAAAGAGCGCGTGTGCACTCGCGTGCGCGCGCGCACACACACACACGTGCGCGCGCGTGGCCTGGAAAATCTGATGAGGCTGCAGTGCTGAGTTTCCAGGCCCCCATCCAGAGGCCGGTGGGCGGCCCTGAGGTTTGGGGCTGGGCAGAGCGGGGACGGGCACGTAGCCCCCCGCTCTGGCCGGGGCTGGTCCCTGTCCAGGCCCACGCTCCCTGCCAGACAGCCTGAGAGAAGGGTCCTCAGGAAGCCAGCTAGCTGTTCAGACTTTATCTACCTACGTGCCTGTTTGCTGGGCGTCCGCCTCCCCACCTTCGAGCCTGCTCGGGGCCCAGAGCCGCTTCCTTTCCTCCATCTCCCTTTCCTCCTTTCCCCGCGTCAGCTGCCTTGGGGTGGCAGCTCCGGGGGAGTGCTTCCAGGTGAGTTGTTGGCTCCAGGCTTGGGGGGTCCTTCGCAGGCCTGCGGCCAGGTGGGGCCGGGAGGGGGAGGGG